CTCTCCTCCTCCTCCTCCTCCTCCTCCTCCTCCTCCTCCTCCTCCTCCTCCTCCTCCTCCTCCTCCTCCTCCTCTCTCCTCCTCCTCCTCCTCCTCCTCCTCCTCCTCCTCCTCACTCCTCCTCCTCCTCCTCCTCCTCCTCCTCCTCCTCCTCCCTCCTCCTCCTCCTCCTCCTCCTCCTCCTCCTCCTCCTCTCCTCCTCTTCCTTCTCCTCCTCCTCCTCCTGCCTCCTCCTCCTCCTCCTCCTCCTCCCTCCTCCCCTCCTCCCTCCTCCTCCTCCTCTCCCTCCTCCCTCACCTCCCTCCTCCTCCTCCTCCTCCTCCTCCTCCTCCTCCTCCTCCTCCTCCTCCTCCTCCTCCTCCTCCTCATCCCCCTCCTCTGCCCCCCCCCCGCCCTTCCGCGACCTGGGGGAGGGCAGCCGGACCTCCCGCATGTCGGGGCGGCCCGGCGGCATGGGCCTCATCCGCAAGTACGGCATCATGATGAAGCGTCAGGCCCTCGGGGTGGGGATCGACACGAGCAGTGGCGAACCGCTCTGGCATACTCTATAGGCCAACCCAAGAATGGTCTAAGAACCTTTCGTGGTCTGCAGGACAGGTTCTTGGAACATGTCTGGCCGAGGCTGTCTTGTTTTAACCCATCGGGGCTATGTTCTAAGACATTGCATTGCTCTTGGAACATTATTGGGTTCTAAGATGATTTCGTGATAGGCCTATTGCCGAGACGGTCGGTCCCTGCTCAAAGTGGTGGCGTCGTGAAAAAAAACACGACGGACAGTTGTTCCATGTTTCTGGCCTCTGGGGGCCCTCGCTGGGCCTTTGGACCGTCAAGACAAGACTCAGGATGGACAGCCGGCCTTGCGGAGCGGGTCGGGACTTCCACATGGACAAAACAATCAGGACGTCAGGGAGGAAACTATACCCGTACCCCGACCCTTCCCTTGATTCCTTTTTGGGGGGCCTCCTAGGCGGCCCTCGTCGCCACCGCTGGATTCGCGTCGAGATCCTGGTTGGAACGCATCCTGGGAGAGGTCCAGGGAGTAGCTGTATCGGTACCTGGTTTCCCCATGGCGGTTACGTTCATTTTAAATATGCCCTGGGCGTTTGTTTTTCCGTTTTCAGGTCGGCGTGTTTGAAATTAGTTTAGCGTTTTCATATCTCAGCAGGAAATCTGAAAACGCTAGAACAAACGCTAGAAACGAGCCTCAAGCGAAAAGAGAGCCTACGATTCCTCTGCACACGCATCGCCAGTCCCTCGGTGGGGGTGGTTCCGATCGTTCTCGAATGGGTTCTGATGTTTCGAAAAGTGTTCGAGTTATTCCCCACATCCTGAGTGGGGTTCTTGTTTTCCCAGAACATCCTCTCCTCCTCCTCCTCCTCCTCCTCCTCCTCCTCCTCCTCCCGCTTCCTCGACCATCCCATACTGTATCATACCATACCAATACCATGCCACTCCATATCATACCTTACCATACCATACCATGCATCCGCCATCCCATACCATACCATGCCTTTCCTCACACCATGTTATTTATCAGGTTTCGCGCCCCTCCCACCCCTCCAGGGAGGCCCCGCCTGAGCGAGCAGGGTATTCGCACACCATGTTATTTATCAGGTTTCGCGCCCCTCCCACCCCTCCAGGGAGGCCCCGCCTGAGCGAGCAGGGTATTCGCACACCATGTTATTTATCAGGTTTCGCGCCCCTCCCACCCCTCCAGGGAGGCCCCACCAGAGCGCAGACAAGAAGCAATGGAACCCCGTAACATCTTTATGTGGGGAACTCCGTTAGCATAATGTTTTTCCCGGGCTTTCGAGCGTGTTCTGTTCTCGGGGCCTGGGTTTGTGTCCATCACCACCCACCGAACCACCCCAACCCAACCCGAAGGCCTCGATCTGCCTTCCATTTCCAGTGGGTGGGGGTCGGGGAACATTGAAAAAACAGATGGATCCCGTACCCCCCCCAACCCGAAGTTCGGGTCTTCGGGTTGGGTCAGGGGTGGCCTGGTAGGTAGTCAGTCCATCGGCTCCGCCCGTCGAAGGCCTTCCGGGGAGGCCGCACTCGGTCTGAACGGCCGCCCGAGGCCCAGGTTAGGCAGGGAGCGGAGAGCAGGGGAGGGTCGAGGCGGGCCAAAGAGGAAGGGCAGCATCGAGGGCCGCTTTCGGGCTCGGCGCCAGGATCGAGCCAGACGCAAAGGGGCTCGGTAGGACCACGGCGGGCGGGAGAGTTTCGGAAGTGTTGGTAGGATTGTGTCGGGCATGGCCTTCCACAGGAGGAATATTCAAAAATAGTTGAAAATAGTCTGGGGGTGATTGTTGCACTATTGTTGACAAGTCTGATTGTTTTGGGGTTTATATATAGATGTATATATAACTGTTCGTTCAAATTCCGTCTGTAGGGGGACATGCCCGACCTAACGGTAGGATTCGTTGGTTTTCTTGCCTCGAGATATTTTTCAGCATCTGCGCCTCACCTAGAGCTTCCTGGAGATGCCCAGATCGTCCCAGACGTCTGCCAGAGACCCCGGTTGGGCTCCGAGAGTTTTCGGAAGGGGAGGATCGAGGATCGAGGGGGGTGGTGAATCGAGGGGGATCGAGGGTGGTCGAAGATTCGAAGATCAGGGATGGGGATCGAGGATCGAGAATGTGCGAGGGTCGAGGAGGATCGATGGGGGAACGGCAGGATCGACGAGGGTGCGGGAGGGTCGAGCAGGATCGAGGAGCGAGGCTGATCGACGCTGCGCGGGATGCGCGGAGAGGTCTGCGGAAGAGGGAGGGAGGGAGGTGTGGAGGTAGGGTTAAGTCGGGCGTGTCCCCCCTACAGGGGATTTTCGACGAAATATAAACAATACCCCCAAAATGCCCCAAAGAGGTCAAACACTAATAAACAAATAGTCCCCAGACTATGTTTGGACTATTCTTTGATTATTGTTCGGGTATTTTCTATGTTTCGTCGAAAATCCCCCTGTAGGGGGACAGGCCCGACTTAAAGGTTAGGGGGGAGGAGGAGGGAGCCAGCGGGGGAGGGCGAAGCGAGGGAGCCAGGACGAGAACGAGCACACGCCATTCGACGGGAGGAGTATCCCAACATAGTGCAAGGATCGTCGGAGGACGATGTTCGACTTGTTCGCCATTTTGGAATAGAAGCCCGAGCAGTACGTGAGTTGGTTGCGCGACACGTGCTTTGAATCCAAAACCGCACATGCCTCGGATGAAGACCTCGTTGCAACAGTTGGAAGTTGGAACAGCAGGCTAAGCTGAGATGAGTTCAATCCCATTCGGCCCATACAAAGACACCTCTGATCATCGGGTAACCTCCGAAGAATTCGTCTACCTCGCCCACGGCCTGGCAATGTCAATTGAGCAAATTGTTTGCCCCAAACTTGCCCAACATGTACGAGAAGGTTCGTGACACTATGCAGGGCACATCTGAAAGGAAAACAAAACCACTCGACTTAAGCACACATGCACACAGTGCTGTTGCATCTAAGCGACAGTTCAATATCATTGAAGCAGCCATCCACTGATGCACGGCTCAGAATGCGGACGGCCGGAGGAGGAGGAGGAGGAGGAGGAGGAGGAGGAGGAAGGGAGGGAGGGAGGGAGGGATGGAGGGAGGAGGAGGCGGAGGAGAAGGAGGAGGAGGAGGAGGAAGAGGAGGAGGGAGGGAGGGAGGGAGGGAGGGGAGGGAGGGAGGGAGGGAGGGATTCAGTGAGGGAGTGAGGGAGGGAGGGAGGGAGGAGGAGGAGGAGGAGGAGCCATCCAAGTTGAGGAAGTGGAGGGCGAGAGCAGAGGTTTGCCCCAGTGTTCTTTGCCACCGCTGGCCCTGCGCTCGAATCTGACAGTAAGGGCGATCGACTTCCCAGGGGTGCCCTTGAATCCGTGCCTCTCGGGTCATCTTCGGTCCCCTCTCAGCTGCTTTCGATGGCTGGCCCCACTCGAGAAGCTTCGGCATCGGCGTCCAAGGCCCTTGCATGCTCGTGGCGCATCCTTACGTCACCGAGCGCGTTCCACTATTCGCAAAGTGCCTATTCGTAGACGTCAGAAAGCACACACGTCTGCATCCATGTGATGTATCGTAGATCCCCCGCTGCGGATAAAGGCCATCTGCGAGTAGGTACTTTGCGAGCAGCGGAACGCGCTCGTCGAAAGTGATAACACGCTGAGGGGCCGCGACTCGCTCTCGCCTGCCTGGCCGCTGCCACCAGAAAGCTCGTCTCGCACGCTGTGATTCGAGCACTGTGGCTGATGCAGTCGGCTCCACAACCTGCCCATACAGTCGACCCGCAGAGTAAGGATAGGCATCCCTCCCAAGGATACCCTTGCATCCTTGCTTTCTGGGTCCATCCTTGGACACTTTCGTTGGCCGCGCCCCGCTCGAAACGCTTCAAAATGGGCGTCCAAGGGCCTTGCATCCTTATCGCGCATCCTTACTCTGCGGGTTGACTGTACAGGCTCTGCAGCGAGAACCCGCTGCCTCTGATTGCCCTCGTCGCACGTGCTGGAGATAGCATTGTACTTGCTAAGGGCGGTGCAAGCTTCGGCTTCCACACACCGTGCAGTCGCGTCTGAGCACCCCAGCTCTGCACGCCGTCGTCAGAAGCTCAACGAATGCGCACCAGCAACAGGGCGCACGAGCAAAAGGAGCACAGCAGAAGTCATTATGCCAATTCGCCAAACGTATCCCTTCACCTCGATGTAGCCAGTCAACCCAATCGACTGCGCACAAGGCGCAGGTGACGAGTTGCCACTCAAGCGCCACGTTGAGGTATCGAGGTGCGACTCATGCCGAAGCGACAAGTCAAAACGGGCCCTATGGAAGGGACGGTGGAGGAAGGAGGCAGGAAGAGGAAAGAGGGAGGAGGGAGGGAGGGAGGGAGAAGGGAGCAGGAGCGGGAATGGGAAGCGAAAGCGCTGGGGGATGCCGACGGGCAGGGGAGGAGGAGGAGGAGGAGGAGGAGGAGGAGGAGGAGGAGGAGCAGGAGCAGGAGGAGGAGGAGGGGCCTGGGGGTTCCAAAAATCTTCAGATCTCTTCGGAGCAGGTCTCGCGCAAGTTCCACGAGGTGTTCTGATGGCTTCGGCTTGTCTTTGTTTCAAAGCTCTCCACTATGAATCGGCAGGCCTGGGGCTCCGCCGCAAGTCTTCGGATGTCTCAGGCGGTTTTCGGGAGGCTTTCGCCAGAGTCTCAATTTTTTCCACACTCTTTCGAGAGCCATCCGGGACCTGGTTGCCCCGAGAGTTTTGGGAGGTCTTCGGTAGTGCTTGTTTGGAAAACTGGAGTGTGTGGGAGGTCGTTGGAGATGTCTGGTGTCTTCGGTAGTCTTTGGAGTAGGGGAGTTCGAAACTCGAAGTACTCCTCTGACCCCTTGGGGGTCCCTGGCTCCCAGGGCGCAAGTCATCCAAAGCGTCAGGCAGCCAGTGCGAGGAAAAAGAGGAGGATGAGGGGTAGGAGGGGAAACGAGAGGAGATAAAAGCGAACGATGGGGAGGGGGGAGGAGGAGGAAGCGTCTTGGTGACATGTTGGGAGCGTCAGCAGGTGGCTTTTTGCGCTTGCGACGGACCTATCGCCTCTTGTCTGCCCCTCCTTCCTTTGCGACAGTTTTGAAGCCTTTGGGGGAGCCGTGTGGGAGCCTCTGAGAGATTCTCCTGGGCCTCTTGGTAGCCTCTCGGGAGCCTCTTGGGACCCTGCTCGGCCGTCTTAGGTGCCTCTGGGCGCCGTCTTTGGCCATCTCGGGCGCCTCTTGGCCCGTCTTGGGGCTATCCTGGACTCTCGCGGGCCCCTTTGGGGCCCCTCTTGGGGTCCTCTGGGGCCGTCCAGGGCGCCTCCTGGACCAGCCTGGGGCTGTCCTGAGCTGCCTTCGAGCTCTCGAGAGGGCCCGTCGGCGAGTCCTGAGGCGACCTCGGAAGCGTCTGGGGCCAGCGTGAACGCTTTGCAGACGAAGACAGCGGAGATGCTGAGAATGCACGTTTTCCCTGGGGAGCTGGACGAACTTTTGCTTGCAGGGGCCCTGTGGGGGGTCCTCTTGGAGCTTCTCGGGAGGCGTCCAGGAGGCTCGAGACCATTCTGGGGCTTCTTGGCGCCAGATACAGTCCACCATGATAGGAAGGATGGGGCAACTTTCCAAAGCTACCCTTGCATCCTTGCCCCTTCGGTATTCGGCATCCTTCGGCATTCTGCTGCGCTCCGCACGGAAAACGGCAACATTGCGTTCCAAGGCCCTCTGCATCCTTACCGCGCATCCTTTCTATCCTGGTCGAGTGTAGGCAAAGGACCTGAGGACACTTCAACTCGTGCCTTGAGGGCGCGGTGGCGGATAGTCCGCGCAGCGCAGAAAGGAGGAGGAGACATCGCATGAGGAGGAGGAGGAGGGGGAGGAGGATGGACGATGGATGAGGAGTGGGAGGATGTCCTCCATCTGTCCTTCCCAACCTTAGCTTTAAGTCGAGTGTAAGCCCACGTGCGAGCTTTTGCGAGCCGTCGTAGGGCGTCTCCGGGCTTGGTCGAGAGCGTCGGAGGCCCTGTGGGGGCGGGCTACCGGAGCAGCGGGGGCCGCCGGACCTCTCCGCCGGAGCCCCCCCCCCAACTCCAAGCTGGCCAGGCCGAGCCCCCGAGGGATGGGGAGGAGGAGGAGGAGGAGGAGGAGGAGGCGGAGGAAGAGAAGGAGGAGGAGGAGGAGGAGGAAGAGGGCGGAGGAGGAGAAGGTTGGAGGAGGAGGAGGAGGAGGAGGAGGAGGAGAAGGGCGGAGGAGGAGGAGGGCGGAGGAGGAGGAGGAAGAGGAAGAGGAAAAGGGCGGAGGAGGAGGAGCAGGAGGAGGAGGAGAAGGGCGGATAAGGAGATTTGCGGAGGAGGAGAAGGGCGGAGGAGGAGGAGGAGGAGGAGGAGGAGGATGAGGGTTGGGGAAGGGGAAGAGTCTCACACGCAGAGTGGACCCCAAGGAATCGGCGAATCTGTATTGGAGCCAAGCAGAGTAGAAAGCCGCGCAAGCAGCTCTTTGGTCCCATCGTCCCCTCCAGGGTCCACTGCGATCCGATCCGATCCGATGTCCCGGCTCGACATGCTGATTGTTCCTGCCCCTTTTCGCGAGAGCCCCTCCAGGAGTTCCGCGAGAAGGCCACCGAGATCGGGTTCATCAAGTACCGCTGAGGGCGGGGCTGGCGCGCGCGCCGAAAGGGGCCGAGCTCGCCGAGCCTCCGGGGGGGGGGGGCCGAGGGCCTTCCGGCCCAGGGCTCGCCTCTGAGCCTGCACGTCGTCTGCGCCGTCGGGCCGCCGAGCGGTCTCGGGGTCGAGCCCATTCGGCGGCCGAGGGGCCTCGGTTTCCCACGATCGTTGCGTGGTGTCCGACCCCGGACCAGACCTCCAGGGTCGGGTTTCGGGGCCGCCGCGGCGGTCGCGGCGGCCCAACGTCGGGGCAAGGCTTGTGTCAAGGAGTGGCGTGTCCCTTCCCAGCCCCTCCCCCCGCTCTGCGATGCAGACCTGGCGCGTATCGTACGAGACAGCGACAGGGAGTGGTCAGCTCATTTCCAACATGGGGAGCCTCCTGTCTTGTTGTTTGTGGTCAGGGTCAAGTCGGGGGCGTCCCTCTACTCGAGGAGTACTCCAAAACAGTACAAAATTGTTGCCGACTATTTTGTGAGCTTTTTTTTGTATCTTATGTTTTCTTTCAAGCTTTATGTCGGGCGTGTCCCCCTACAGGGGAATTTTCGGCGAAAAATCAAAAATACACCAAAAATGCTGCAAAAAGGGCAAACAAATTTAAAGAGTAGTCCCCAGGCTATTTTTGGATCATGTTTTGATTATTTTTGGGGTACTTCTCTTATTTATCGTCGAAAATCCCCCTGCAGGGGGACAGGCCCGCTTTAATTCAAGCTCCGCCTCTATGGGGGGACGTGCCCGACCGACGCTCGGGGGCCGGCCTCTCGCGCCGCCGCACGACGCCCGTCGGAGCCGAGCCCGCTCGGCTGCCCGCTCGGACCGGCTCGGAAGGGAGGCCGGCCGCCGGACGGGGCTCGGAAGGGAGGCTGGCCGTGGCGGCGGGGCGCCGCGGGGAGGAGAAGCTCGGGGGCGGTAAAGAGGGGCGAAGCACCGGGTATGGATAGGCATCTGCCCCTCAGAGGCTCGACTGTTGTCCACATCCAGTGCTCCTCGGCCTTGCGGTCCCCACTCCAGGAGAGTCCAGGACGCACTGGGCATGGATAGAAATGTTGCCCGCGCTGGATGGGGTCGGAGCAGGTGGGGGCGGAAAAGAGGGGGGTGATGACTAGGGGTGTGTGGATATCATGGCGGGGTCCATGATGTCTACCCAGATTTCGTGGTGCCTCCTCTTTTTTTACTACGTCCCTGGCTCCCCCGCTGGGCCGCGCACATGCCGCCGGTCATGATTTGCCCCCCCCCCCCCCCCCCCCTTGGACACCTCCCTCTTGGCCGCTCCCGAGAAGCAAGCCAGCAGCGGCGGAGCGTCGCGGCTGGCCTTGTGCAGACGCAGCGGGTGCAGTTGTGAAACTATCCGGAGCGAGCAAGAGCACACAGACGATGAATCGTCGATTCTCCCTGAACGTATGGGGAAATAGTTCTAGGAAGTGGGGAGGAAGACGAGAACCTAGAACATGTGGGAACATATGGGGGATCCTGCTATTTGTGTGTATTCATTTGTGTGTCCCAGGGCCCCTTCAAACTATTGATTAGCTGCCCGAGGAGTCGCATAGTGTAAGTAGTTGCTGTAGTTTGTCCAGGGGAGCTGTAGGCTCAGTGGCCGTGGTGGTTCGAGTGGTACCATGAGTGCGCCGGCTGTCACTCTGACTCGTAGGAGTAGGACAACGCCTTGTGTTGGCATCAAGCAGTGGAAAATCGTCCCGGCTGGCCTGTAGGCCCACCAAAGAATGTTCTAAGAGTCGTCTGTGGTCTGCACGAAATGTTTTGGAACTGCTCTGGCTTGGACAGTCTTGCTGTAACACATAATGTCTATGCTCTGATAACATTGTTTTTGTGTTTAGAACATTTGGGGGTTCAAAGAACATTTGGTGGTAGGCCTGTAGGAATGTCGGGACGGTCGGTCCCTGCTCAAAACAAGTCGCGTCGGAGGTTATATTTCCGCCTCAGCGGGGGGGGCGTTTCGGTTCGGGCCTGGGGGCTGTCAGATACTCGGTTCGGGATGGCGAGCCCCAGGAGGAGTCCGAGCACCGATTCAGAGCGAAGTTTCGGGTCCAGGAGGAGTTTTCCGCATCGAGCTCCTCGTCGCTGTCGTGATGCTCGCCTTCCTCATTCTGCTCCGAGTCATCCGCATATTCCTGTTCCTGTTTCGCACCCTGCTCTGCCTCCCCGACCCTTTCCCTGATCCCCCATTCCTCCTCCCCCATCCTTTTTGCATCTCGTCCCGCTAGTCTTCCACTGGGACCGTTGTTCATGGGACTGCCTCGTGAAACCCCAGCGGCATCAGGGACCAAGGATATCTGAGCCAGCTTGCCTTCCAGCCCCTCAAACATCATGGCCTTGCAAGCAGAGAAGACCCCTTGACACGGAATGCTGGGCCATCGGCGGAAATTGCTACGTTTCCACAGGCGCGTCATCCTCAGACGCATCGAGCTTGCTGGGGCGAGATCATGGTCCCACGTGCAGCAACGAGATTGAGGAGGAGGAGGAGGAGGACGAGGAGGAGGAGGAGGAGGAGGAGGAGGAGGAGGACGAGGAGGAGGAGGAGGAGGAGGAGAGGAGGAGGAGGAGGAGGAGAGGGAGGAGGAGGAGGAGAGGAGGAGGAGGAGGAGGAGGGAGAGGAGAGGAGGAGGAGGAGAAGAAAAGAAGAAGAAAATAATAAGAAGAAGAAGAAGAAGCGGAGGAGGAGAAGAAGGAGGAGGAGGAGGAGGACGCCGTGCAGCCGCGAGAGGGTAATTCTGAGGAGCACCCGGAGATCCCGATACCTCCATGGCCGCCTTCCCTCCCCGAGGAGGTTGGGATTGTGCCGCGCGTGCGGCGAGGAATGCGCTCGAGTGTGGGTGGCAGCATAGAAAAACGCGATCCGCGCGGGTGCTCCGCTACGGCGGCATGTGCCGACGGGCAGGGGAGGGGGAGGAGGAGGAGGAGGAGGAGGAGGAGGAGGAGGAGGAGGAGGAGGAGAGGAGGAGGAGGAGGAGGAGGAGGATGGAGGAGGAGGAGGAGGAGGAGGAGGAGGAGGAGGAGGAGAGGAGGAGGAGGAGGAGGAGGAGGAGGAGGAGGAGGAGGAGGCGAGGAGGAGGAGGGAGGGGAGGAGGAGGACTGAGGAGGAGACGAGGAGGAGGAGGAGGAGGAGGAGGAGGAGGAGGAGGAGGGAGGAGGAGGAGGAGGAGGTGGAGGAGGAGGAGGAGGAGGAGGAGGAGGTGGACGTAAACGAGGAGATGGGCGTGGAAGTGGATGTCCTCCTCGCGGCTTCCGGGCGTGACCCGCGGTTTTCCGCCGGGACATTGCAGCGGGAATCCCCATTCCACGTTGCTGCCTCTGATTACACTGCCCACTGAAGGAGGGGAGGTGGAAGTCCAGGCCAGATTCAGAAATCAAGGGAGGAAAACACCTGGACCCGACAATTGGCGTTTAGTCAACGGCGTTGGGCATTTTCTAAACAGCATTGCCCTGCTCGGTTCCTTCCGTGGGGGCGTTTGGTAAACGGCTTCGCGTGTCGGGCCGGTTACTTTGGGGGGGGGATTTGTTGCCCTGTGTTCATGAGCCCTGCTTGGTTTCCGTTCCCAGGCGGGACCCGGCGACAAGACGCCCACGCCCCTTGCACTAAAGCCGCCCCGGACTGGGGCCTTCTCTTCGGGAGGTGGGCGGCAGCTCGAGCGCCGAGCCGAGCTCAAGCGGCGAATCGGGAAGACTCGGGAAAGGGGGGTCGATGGCGGGAGGGGGAGGAGGGAGGGAGGGAGGGCGGGATTGCAGCAGGGAGAGCCAGGCGATCGCAAGATGGATCAACGGGCCGTGGATTAGCGACGGGTCCCGTTGCCATGGGAAATAGCAGATTTCCGCCGCCGAGCGAGGCGGCACCGGCCGCACTTTGGGAGAGGGCGCCTCGTCCGATCCATGGATTTGGTGACCGCGCGCAAAATCCATGTTTGCGCGCCCCCGAAAGGGGGGAAAGGAGGGGGCAGGGAGGGGATGGGGAGAGGTCGGGGACTCTGGAAACTCTTCCTGGTGGCGTAGCGATGCGAATGAGATCCTCCAGCACCTACTGTGGGGTCTTCCTCTGGGGCTGTTCAGTTGCGCGGCAAACTTTAGGCCAAAACGCCAAATCAATACGCCGTAAATGCTCGTGCCCTGTGGCGGTCGGGGGTTTAAAGGTGGACACCAGCTTCCCAATCTGGTTCTTAGACATACGTGCCACAAAACACAAAAACATCCCCAGCCCCTGCGTGGAACCTCGGATGATGGGTTCAATGAATCCTCCACCTGCTACGTGTTCCTGCTTGCCCAGGGGGGCCTCATATAAGTGCCATCTGCATCGATGAGGTCAACGCATTCTGATTTATAAAATTCAACTCGGGTAGCTTGTGTGGCTGACCCTTGGCACACAATGCATTTGCAGCCTGATTCGTCCAGCATATGGGTGGAAGCGAAAGCGGCACACAAAGCGGGAGCTGGGGGTCGGGCAGGCTGAGTCTTGTCTCGCGTAGGCCGTCTCTTACGGACTCCCCTGTCGGCTACCTCTTGAGTTCGTTCGAATTTTAGGGCTCCTAGGGTGGACCTCCGGAGGCGCATGCGAAAAAGGCTTGATTTTTACCTAACAGCGTTTGCTGATAGGTTTCTAGTAGGGTCAAAAGAGAGCATCATGACTCCTCAGGGGGGTCTGGGCGGGTGCCGGGGAGGAGAACCGGGAATCGTTTTTCGCCAACAGTCACACACTTCGTGCTCTTCGACCTCCCAGAACTCCATTCCCGGGCCACATTCTGGAGAACCGGGAACAGAGCCGGGCTCGCTTTTCGCTAACAGTCACACACTTCGTGCTCTTCGACCTCCCAGAATTCCATTCCCGGGCCACATTTTGATGCCCGGAGCCAACTGTAGGCCACTTCGTGCTCTTCGACCTCCCAGAACTCCATTCCCGGGCCACATTTTGGATGCCCGGAGCCAACTGTAGGCCACTTCGTGCTCTTCGATTTCCCAGAACTCCATTCCCGGGCCACATTTTGGATGCCCGGAGCCAACTGTAGGCCACTTCGTGCTCTTCGAGTTCCCAGAACTCCATTCCCGGGCACATTTTGAATGCCCGGAGCCAACTGTAGGCCACTTCGTGTTCTTCGAGTTCCCAGAACTCCATTCCGGGCCACATTTTGGATGCCCGGAGCCAACTGTAGGCCACTTCGTGTTCTTCGAGTTCCCAGAACTCCATTCCTGGGCATGATTTTGAATGCCCGGAGCCAACTGTAGGCCACTTCGTGTTCTTCTAGTTCCCAGAACTCCATTCCTGGGCCACATTTTGAATGCTGAGGCAGGCTGAGGCAGGCTGCAGGCTGAGGCTGAGGCTGAGGCTGAGGCCGAGGCTGAAGGCAGACTGAGGCTGAGGCTGAAGCAGGCTGAGGCTGAGGCTGAGGCAGGCTGAGGCTGAGGCTGAGGCAGGCTGATGCTGAGGCAGGCTGAGGCTGAGGCTGAGGCTGATGCAGGCTGAGGCTGAGGCAGGCTGAGGCTGAGGCCGAGGCTGAAGGCAGACTGAGGCTGAGGCTGAAGCAGGCTGAGGCTGAGGCTGAGGCAGGCTGAGGCTGAGGCAGGCTGAGGCTGAGGCTGAGGCAGGCTGAGGCTGAGGCTGTGACTGCGACTGCCGTTGCCGCTGCGACTGTCATCGCGAATGCGACTACGACTGCGAGAACAGCAGAATTCTACAACTGGATTTTCATCTGAATCTTAAGGGGAATGCTCTCAGATATGCTTCTACATATCGCTGTTAGGTTGCTTTGCCGGGATAATCAAACAGGTAACGGACAGAGCGAGGTACGAGTGATGACGTTGTGTTTGGGCGAAGCCCTCTAGGGAGGGGTCCAGGGGAGGGGGGGAGGGGCGGGGGGATGAGTGTAAATGGCCGTTCGGGGCGTCTTGAAGGCCTCTTGGGCGCTTCTTGGGCCGTCTTGGGCGCTCAAGGCGGTCCAAGAGGGGTCCAAGACGGCCCAACGGCCTATGAGCGCTCCAAGAGAGCCCAAGACCGCCCAAGACGGCCCAAGAGGCCTCCAAGACGCCCCAAGAGGCGCCTAAGGGGCTCCCAAGAGGGCCCCAAGAGGCCAAAATCATTGACCGTCAGGATGAAAGCGAGCATTTTGAGCATACGCGGCTTTTCGACATCCACGGCGCCAGCGACGGCCCAAGAGGCCGCCAAATCCGCCCCAGGACGGCCCACGAGGCTCCCAAGAGGCCCCCAAAACGGCCCCAGAGGGCCCCCAGACGGCCCCAGGGGCGCCCAAGGCAGCCCCAGAGGGCCCCACGAGGGCCCCAAGAGGGGGACCACGAACCGAAAAGTCTAGCCTTTCGCCCCAAGACGCTCCCAGGAGGCCCCACGAGCCCCCAAAGGAGCCCCAAGATGCGCCCAAAAGGCGTCCCAAGAGGCCACCAGGAGGCGAATATCATTGATTCCCCGATGGGAGAAGGTACATAACATACAAGGCTCTTCTGTTTTCACGGCGTTGGAGACGGCCCAAGAGGTCCCCAAGACCGCCCCAAGACGGCCCAAGAGTCCCCCAAGAGGCCCCCCAAACGGCCCAAGAGGGGCCCAAGAGGCGCCCAAGAAGGCCCTAAGACGGCCCCAAGAGGGGGGCCACGAACCGAAAAGTCTAGCCTTTCGCTCCAAGAAGCTTTCAGGAGGCCCCACGAGGCCCCAAAGAAGCTCCAAGAAACCCCCAAAAGGCGTCCCGAGAGGCCACCAGGAGGCCAACATCATTGATTTTCCCTTGGGAAACTTACATTTTTAGCATCTACGGTTTTTCGGCTTTCACGGCGTTGAAGACGGTCCAAGGGGCTCCCAAGACCGCCCCAAGACGGCCCAAGAGGCACCCAAAACGGCCCAAGAGGGCCCCAAGACGGCCCAAAGGGCGCCCAAGACGGCCCGACAGAGCCCCAAGACGGCCCCAAGAGGGGGACCACGAACCGAAAAGTCTAGCCTTTCGCCCCAAGACGCTCCCAGGAGGCTCCAAGAGCCCCCCAAGCCCCAAGAGGCCCACAAGAGGCGTCCCAAGAGACCACCAGGAGGCGAATATCATTGATTGCCGAAAGGCAACCGTATATTTTTAACATGCACGGCTTTTCGGCTATCACCGGGTTGAAGACGGTCCAAGAGGCCCCTAACACCGCCCCAAGACGGCCCAAGAGGTTCCCAAGAGGCCCCCAAAACGGCCCGAGAGGGCCCCAAGACGGCCCAAGAGGCGCCCAAGACGGCCCAAGAGGGCCCAAAGACGGCCCCAAGAGGGGGACGACGAACCGAAAAGTCCAGCCTTTCGCCCCAATAAGCTCACAGGAGGCCCTAAGAATTCCCCAAGAAGCCCCAAGAAGCCCCCAAGAGGGTCCCAAGATGCCCCCAAAAGGGCTCCAAACGAGCCCCAATAGGACCCCCAAGAAGGCGCAGAGACGCCAAATAAAGAGCGATCGGTAACGCAAAAAACTCTTCACACCAAGGCTCCCAAGAGCGAACGGTGACGTAAAGAAGCTGATAAGAAGGCTCCCAGCAGAGAGCGGTGACGTAGCAAGGTCCTGACATCAAGGCCCAGCCAAGGCTCAGAAACGGGCGGCAACGCAACAATCTCTGAATAGCAAGGCTCCCAAGAGCGAGGGGTGACGTAACAAGCTCTCAACGCTAAGCCTCCCAGTGCGAATTGTGATGTGAGTAATTTCGGTTTCTGTTTCTGAAGCGTTCTTTCCGTTTCTGTGCCGGCCCAGGTAACGGAAAGAGCGAGGTACGAGTGATGACGTTGAGTTGGGGCGAAGTTTTTAGGGGAGGAGTCCAGGGGAGGGGCGAGGCCCGGGTGCAGGGTTGGTAATGGCCGTTTTCGGGTTTCCCTTTGGGTTTTT